TGCGCACACACACAGTGCAGGATTGCGCACACACACAGTGCAGGATTGCGCACACACACAGTGCAGGATTGCGCACACACACAGTGCAGGATTGCACACATACACACAATGCAGAATTGCACATACACACAGTGCAGGATTGCACACATACACACAATGCAGAATTGCACATACACACAGTGCAGGATTGCACATACCATTTCAGAAGTGTATGTATTTCAGGTTCCACAAAGTCCATCTTCAGGCTCTATAAATGTCCACAGAGTCAAGTTAAGATGCCTTACTATTAGTTTCCAGAAATAGTTAATAATTTAAGGGCCAGGGATGCAGGTCAGTGGCAAACTGTGTAACTATCATATATGATGCCCTGGGCTCCCTCCTTGATGAGGGGAGGGAAGAGAATGAATATATGATATAGTGGAATTAGGACATCAAACTAAAAAGCTTCTGTATAAAGTAAGGTAACAGCATAGGGACAGTCTACAGAATAGGAGAAAATATTTGCAAGCTATACTTCTTGCAGAGAGTTGAAATCAGTAGAAAATGAACTCCCAAACTTGACAGACAATAGCCATTTTTAAAACAGAGAAGCGTGGTTCTAGACATTGATGTTTCATATCTCTCCCTCACAGACAGGAGAGAACTCGCCCAGCTTGTTGAAGGACCTCAGTGACAATGAAAGTGACAATAGTGTAAGTGTTTGTCCACCTGACAGCCATTCGTGGGGACAGTTTTTGCTTCTTTGTATGCTGCTTGGTTTCAGCCAGTATCATCCACATTCTGAGTTTTCTAATTCTAATTTCTAATGTCTTTCCTGAAGACTCTTAAGAAGAAGGTACTTGAAAAGGAGACCTATATCCAAGAACTTCTGTGTCTGTTTCAGAATGAAAAGGTAACACGTTTTGAGTTTTTAACCATGACTTATGTTTTGTTAGTATTGACCCCGTTCTCCTCCTCCCACTCCGTTCTCATATCCTCAGTTAGGTGCAATGAAGGCTTTTTGACAGTTTAGATCAGTATTAATTGTTATGTATCAAATAGAACATCTTAACTTTTTAAGGTTTTTTTTTGTTTAGTTTATTTTTATGCTGCTTGGACCACTTGGCTTAAGTCACCCCAAATCCTATATGCCTGGGTTGGGTGATGGGCCAGTCAGAAGACCACAACTCAAGTTTAGTCCCCAGAAACCTTGGAATTCTGGTCCTGGAAAGGCAGAGGTGGGAGGATCTCTAGGGCTTGCTGGCCAGCCAGACTAGCCTATTTGGTGAGCTCCAGGCCAATGAGAGGGCCTGTCTCAGAGGAGCTGCAGGATGGTCCTGATGATGACAACCAAGGTTGTCCTGTGATCCCACACACATGTCATATATGTGCATGTGTGTGTATGTATGTGTCCCTGTGCCTGTACACAGCTAAAAACACATGCAAATATACACATGCACGTTTAAGGACTATAAATTTATATTTTAATCTGTTTGGAAAAATTAAATAATTTTGGTATTTGAAGTAACATTTTGTACATACTTAAATTTTTATTTGGGAGGAGAGATGGGAAGGTTTATAGGAGATGATTAGAAGGTATTGAATACATGTGGGAGTTTCACATGCAATTTTATATGAAGTGCATTCATAGGGCCGCAGTGTGTGGAAAGGAGTGCTCTGCTTCACCTTCTGTTCAGGTGGACCCAGACTCCGGGCTCTGTCAGAGATAAAGAGACACAGGAACTTAGTATTTGTCTTTCTTTTCTATTACAGGAAAGTGCTTTGAAAGCAAATCGGTTTTCTCAGTCAGTCAAAGTGGTACATGATCGTCTACACCTCCAAATTCAGAAAAGGAAAGCTGAGAATGATAAGCTAAAAGAACATGTAAAGGTTATGAATATCCATTTTTATAGTTTAAGTAATAAAATTAATGAAGAACTAACTTTAACAGCCTTGCTTAATTGTGAAATTCAGTGATAATAAAAGAATGAAATTTTGGTGTTTCTGTGGAAAACACTTAATTTAAATCTTAATCATAAGGTGTCTAGCTTTCTGAATATTTAGGTCCATATCACTGTATGAAAATGTTTCCTTTTATATTTCAATTTAGGGAGAATGTGTGGAGATTTGTAGCAGGTCTTTCCTTATATTACTAGCTCTCTAATAATGACACAAGACTTTTTACTGATTATGAAAAGCTTGGACTTAGCTTAGGTTTGTTCCCAACTAGGGCTTAAAACTTAAATTAACCCATTTATATTAACCTGTGTCGGTCATGTGTCCGTTACCTCTTCTCAGTACCGTCTGTCCAACTTCCTCCGTGTTTGGCTGGTGAATCTTTCACCTCAGATTTTTTCCCAGAATTTCTTTGTCTGGAAGTCCCACCTATCCTCTCCTGCCTTGGCCATTCAGCTCTTTATTAAAATCAATCGGAAGGTGCCTTAGGCAGGTGAGGTTAAACAGAGACACATCGTCATACACTGTACAAAAAGATCACCCCAGCAGAGATTTTAAATCTTTTAAATCTTTCTCACCATACAGTTAATTTATGTTTACTGTGGACATTTTTGTAAATTATGGAAACGTAAGTTAAAATAACTTTAGGACACCAAAACTATTGTTAACATTTGGTTGCAGAGTATTCCCGTCTTTTTCCTTGTCTATATAGCCTTTTATGCATATTCTCACATGTATCTAATAGGCAATCAGTAAGTTGTTTCTTTTGTTACCAATTCTAATAATTTTGAAATGAGCTTAGTTTTTGTATGTAGAGCACTGAGACCTTTTGTATTTGTGCAATTAGAAGGAACGTTTGGTTTAAAAAGGTGCTCCCAGTCACAGTTGTTTTGAGGTCAGAGCCTGAGGGTGCTGTTACATCTCACAACCTAATTGGATCCACTATCTTATTTTTTTGCCAAAGGAAAAGAAACAGTGTTCCTACCTTCAGAGACTTCTACAGACCAAGGGTGAGAATGTCTAGGTAGACCTCTGTTTTTCTGAATCCTAGCAGACATCTGCAACTTATAGCACCTGCTTCAAGAGCTCTCCTTGTCCTTAAGTGGCAAAGAGCTTTTGCCTTTCTGAGGATAGTAAGCAGGTTTATAGAGGATGTCATTTGTTTTAATTAATTTTTTTCTTTTCTAATTTCATCCACGTGTCTGGTGTATTCTGATTACGCTCCACCTGCCTTCTCCGGCTCCCTTCTGTCCTTATTGCTCCCTCCCATCCCACTGCCCCCTTCCCTAGATACATGACCTTCAACTTTGCTTTTAGTTTAACCGTGGCATCTGTGTAGCCATTGGTTTGGAGCTGTCCATCAGAGCCTGGCTGGAGTCAGGAGTGGTAGCCAGCTGGAGGCATTGATATTCCCTCCGCTGGACTCTGTCAGTAGAAAATAGTCCTTCATTCTCCATACCTGTTCCTCCAAGAACCTTCTGCCATAGCCCTCGTGGATCCTCTTTGCTCTCTGCGTGGGTGATACAGGACACAGTGGTGCGCTGTGCCAATGCTGTGCAGGCATGGACAGGCAAATAATGGGATCCAGCCTGTCGTTGTCTGACCCAGTTCAGATCACCTTTCACGGTCTTACAGTGCCCTCAAAGAGCAGTTGATTTTTTTTTAATTCTAAATGAAATAATGAGTTATTTTCAAAGATAATTTTTAACAGTATTTTTTGTTTTTTTAAGTATACTTGATTAATCTGGAGACATAACACAAGGCTAAAGTCCAGAGCTCTGCTGTGACATCCCGTTTTGATATACGGATCCCTCAGCACGGCCACTGCTAAGGACAGTAAACAGGTGGCTTTAGGGCCTTGCTGTTCCGCTTTCCTCTCACACACACTTTAATTACAGTTTGACCTTATTTGTAGACATTAATTATATTATGTAAAATAAGTATATAAAATCTGGAATTTAAAGCTGTGAATAATGTGGTGGGAGGATTAGAATTCAGTTACTTGATTTTGAGTTTAACACATTTGCTTTTTAAGTGTAAAAACAATTCAGTCTGGCAACCTAAATCTCGGGTTTTTAATTGTTGTCATTCATTGGGCCTTTTAAAAATTTGCATTTTAAGTCTTTCAGAATATCCCAAAGATGTTCTGCAATATTGGATGCTTTGATCCAATTTTTCCTTCTAAATTCTTAGAGATGTCAGTTGGAGTTAGAATATTTTTAGAAGAGATAGCGAATAATGACCTGTGTCCTGCTGTGTCTGTACACATATGTGCACAGTGGGACGTATGTGTAGTCCGCTGTGTAACCTGTGGTGTATATGAACATAATGTGCACACTTCCTGCTATCTCATATGTGTCCATTCACTTGGCAAATGACTGAGGCTTTATTTTGAAACTAAAACTAATTTGCCAGTTTTATTCTATCCCTGGAATATTAAAGTGTAGGGTTTGAGAATTTCGTATATGTATACAGTGTGTTTTGAGTATATCCACCCCCAGCCACCTCCTCCCTCCGACACAAAACCCTCTTAACTTTATAGTCTCTTTTTTTTTTTTTTT